ATACATGAAATTTTTAGAAAAGTCAATTGCTTCTCAGTTATATTGTCCCCAGCTTTCACTGAAAGTGGGGGATATTAATTTGGGTCTGTCTGTCCATCCATCCGTCCGTCTGTCCATCCGTTTGTATTTCTGTCTGTCTGTAACGCTTTCGTTTCTGCGCCATATCTCAAGAACCCTCTGAGCTTTTGCAATGAAATTTTGCACGGCAACTCCCTATGGCACAAAGAAGAACCCTATTGATTTTTAGGTCAAAAGGTCACAGGTCAAGGTCATAAATTCATAAATTCTTCTGTTTTTAACACTTTCGTTTCCGCGTGATATCTCAAGAATCCTTTGAGCTTTTGCAATGAAATTTTACACAACAACTCCCTGTGGCCTAAGGAAGACCCCTATTGATTTTGAAGTCAAAAGGTCAAAGTTCTAGGTCGTAAATTCATACATTCCGTCTGTGTGTAACACTTTATACCATAACTCCCTATGGCCTCTCTTGCCCCTCTCAAAGTGTCCCGCCCCATTTTTTTTTTTATTTATTTATTTATTGTAAAAGTCACTTGGCACTATTTTTATCACAGGGGCATGTCGAGAGTTTTTACGTATAAGACAGGCTGTCGTTGGACTTTATATTCTAATTACATCTATTAGAACTGTTTAGTAAAGGCTAAATTAGACAACATTTGTTGTGTAAAATTTTTGGCAATATCAAACGTGAATATAAACATTATATGTGACTAAATGTTTGCATTAAATTTAATGTATAAGCAAGTGCCTCCATGGTCTAGTGGTATGTTGCTTGCTTAGCAAGCGAGAGGCCCGGGTTCAATTCCCGGACGATTCTCTTTTTTTTTTTAAATGTTTTTTTTTTTTGGATTTACTGAATGATACTATTCAACATGTGAAATGAAAAAGATATGATGTCTGGCGTGTACAAACTCATAAAATCATTATTACAGTGTGATAAATATTCTGTATGTAGTATATTAAAAAGAATCTTCTATACACATATTAATGAATAAGCAATCAAATCTTTATATCCATACTGGCTTTTTTTAATTTGCTTAAATATATATGTGTATACATTTAATAATTCTACAAATACAGGGGAGCAGTGCCCCCCCCCCCCCCCCCCCCCACCGAACTGCGCATGCTCTTCTTTTTTCCCTAAGTGGGGGACACAAATTCTCTGAATTAGCTTGTTTTTAATGTTTTAAAAGCTCTTCCTCATTAAAGTACAGTTTGCTATTCCTCTCTATTTCATCTTCATCAGCTAAGCATTTGATTAGTATCCCCTATCTCCATATTTAGTAGGTATTTTGGCATATTTAGTAGAAATATACCTGTCATCTATCAAATTAATCATGGTATCATTCTTTATGATACAACTCTAAGCCAATCAGATAGATTGTATTTTACAAAAAAATTTGGTTCACCGAAGAAAAAGGAAAGGTTTAACATGCATTTCTGTGATGCAATTTGATAGGATGCCATGGAAAGTCAAAATGTGAGCTTAGATAAATAAGCTAATGGGAGCAGAGGGGATATGAATCGGACACTGGGCTAGCAAAGATGGGTCAAGATAGCTACAAGAAATGTTGGAAATTTTTGTATTGCAAACAAGTTTTTTAGGTCACCTGAGTCACTCAGGTGACCTATTGTTATCTGTTTTCGTCCGTCGTCGTGCGTCGTGTGTTAACATTTGAACATTTTCAGCTTCTTCTCTGAAACTGCTGAACCAATTTCAGCCAATTTTAGCATATGGCATCTATGTGTGAAGGAGAACAAAATTTGTGAATATCATGGTCCCTGCCCCCCTGGGGCCTGAGGGGTGGGGCTAAAACCACAAAAATTAATGCAATCTTTAAAAATCTTCTTCTTTACTCCTGGACATTAAGCAATCAAACTGTTGGCATGATTGTAATAAGCATTGAACCCTCTACCAAAATTGTGAAATTCATGGCCCCAGGGTCAGGGGTTCTAGTGCTAGGGCGGGGCTATATAGATCATATAGTGAATGTGCATTATTTCTTTGAAAATCTTCTTCTCTACTCCAGGGTATTATTGAAACAAATTAAATACATAGTTATGTTAAGCAAGAGTGACTCTACCAAAATTGTGAAATTCATAGCCCCAGGGTCAGGGGTTCTGGTGCTGGGGGGGGGGGGGGGGGGCTATATAGATCGTATAGTGAAAGTGCATTATTTCTTTGAAAATCTTCTTCTCTACTCCTGGGTATTATTGAAACAAATTGAATACATAGTTATGTTAAGCAAGAGTGACTCTACCAAAATTATGAAATTCATAGCCCCAGGGTCAGGGGTTCTGGTGCTAGGGTGGGGCTATAAGATCATATAGTGAAAGTGCATTATTTCTTTGAAAATCTTCTTCTCTACTCCTGGGTATTATTGAAACAAATTAAATACATAGTTATGTTAAGCAAGAGTGACTCTACCAAAATTGTGAAATTCATGGCCTCAGGGTCAGGGGTTCTGGTGCGGGGGGGGGGGGGGACATATAGATCATATAGTGAAAGTGCATTATTTCTTTGAAAATCTTCTTCTCTACTCCTGGGTATTATTGAAACAAATTGAATACATAGTTATGTTAAGCAAGAGTGACTCTACCAAAATTATGAAATTCATAGCCCCAGGGTCAGGGGTTCTGGTGCTAGGGTGGGGCTATAAGATCATATAGTGAAAGTGCATTATTTCTTTGAAAATCTTCTTCTCTACTCCTGGGTATCATTGGAACAAATTGAATACATAGTTATGATAAGCAAGGGTGACTCTACCAAAATTGTGAAATTCATAGCCGCAGGGACAGGGGTTCTGGTGCTAGGGGGAGGGGGAGGGGTGCTATATAGATCATATAGTGAATGTGCATTATTTCTTTGAAAATCTTCTTCTCTACTCCTGGGTATTATTTAAACAAATTAATACATAATTATGTTAAGCAAGAGTGACTCTACCAAAATTGTGAAATTCATGGCCCCAGGGTCAGGGGTTCTGGTGCTGGGGGGGGGGGGGGTTATATAGATCATATAGTGAAAGTGCATTATTTCTTTGAAAATCTACTTCTCTACTCCTGGATATCATTGAAACAAATTGAATACATAGTTATGATAAGCAAAGGTGACTCTACCAAAATTATGAAATTCTTGGCCCCAGGGTCAGGGGTTCTGGTGCTAGGGTGGGGCTATAAGATCATATAGTGAAAGTGCATTATTTCTTTGAAAATCTTCTCTACTCCTGGGTATCATTGGAACAAATTGAATACATAGTTATGATAAGCAAGGGTGACTCTACCAAAATTGTGAAATTCATGGCCTCAGGGTCAGGGGTTCTGTTGCTAAGGTGGGGTTATATAGATCATATAGTGAATGTGCATTATTTCTTTGAAAATCTTCTTCTCTACTCCTGGGTATTATTGAAACAAATTAAATACTTAGTTATGATAAGCAAGAGTGACTCTACCAAAATTGTGAAATTCATAGCCCCAGGGTCAGGGGTTCTGGTGCGGGGAGGGGGGGGGGGGCTATATAGATCATATAGTGAAAGTGCATTATTTCTTTGAAAATCTTCTTCTCTTCTCGTGGGTATTATTGAAACTAATTAAATACATAGTTATGATATTAGGAAGGGTGACTCTTCCAAAATAGTGATTTTCATGACCCTTGGATCAGGAGTTCTGATGTTAGGGCCGGGCTCTATTTATTATACAGTGAAAATGCATTAATGCTTTAAAAATCTTCTTCTCTGCTCCTGGGTATTTTTGAAACAAACTAAGTACATTGTTATGATAAGCAATGATGCCTCTTCCAAAATTGTGAAATTCATGGCCCCAGGGACAGGGGTTCTGGTTCTAGGGTGGGGCTATTATAGATCCTATAGTGAAAGTGAATTTTTTCTTTGAAAATCTTCTTCTCTGCCCCTGGGTACTATTTAAACAAACTAAATACATTGTTAGGATACACAAGGATGCCTCTTCCAAAATTGTGAATTTCATGGCCCTAGGGTCAAGGGTTCTAGTGAAAAGGTTGGGTTGGGGGGGGGGGGGCTTTATTGATGATATAGTGAAAAAGCAAAATTTCTTTGAAAATATTCTTTTCTGCTTCTGGTTAAAAAGCAAAGAAGCTAAGTATATAGTTATGCTGAGCAAGAGTGCTTCTTCCAGAGTAGTGAACTGCATGACCCGGGTCAGATGTGCTGGTGTAAGGGTGGGGCTCTTGATAATATAGTGAAATGCATTAAATCTATTAAATAATCCTGTCTGCTCCTTAGTATTAAGCAGATAAACAAAGTGATTACTTATGATGAGCAAACTTCTGGTCCCAGGGTGAGAGACTCTAGTGTTTCTTGGTGGGGGGGGGGGGGGGGGGGGCTCTATTGATAATATAGTGAATCTGAAGTAAACTTTTGATAATTAATCACTGTAAACAATGTACTTGAAAGGTTAATAGAATAAGAGAATTATGCAAGAATTTTTATTTTATAATGCAAAAAGTATTTTCATAGTTTTAATGATCAGGTAGACTTGTAAGTAATAGACAAATAAAAATGGAACAAAAATAACTTGTTTTATTAAATGTTCATCAAAGACCAAGAGACCAAGAGAGGCCAATATAAGAGATTTCAACAAGAAATTAAAATCGTACAGAAGCACTGATAGGTGTATTAATATGCTGTATAGTGATAAATGGGGAACAGATTAGAACCTAATTTATGAACTGTCAATGAATAGTAGACTAATTATTTTGTTGATCCTGATCACCCTGTTTTTCTTGCTTTTGGGCAACAAAGCTTCACCTTTCAGTTCATTTTATACTCTATGGATCCTCTAAATTGTTGTATTATACTCAGGTGACCGTTAAGGCCCTTGGGCCTCTTGTTTTTTATAAAAACAACTATTAGATATGAGAAAGAGGAGTGTCATCCTAGAGGTTATGTAGGATTATGACTGTCAAGGCTCGTGGGCTGTCCATAAATTTAGTGGGGTTTTTTTTGCAGGGCATGAATGTCAACAGAGATCTTGTATTATATCCAATATTCCAAGAGATGACCCCCTTTCCAGCTCGAAGACAAGAAGTGATGAATTTGTGTCCAAATCAAACATCTATGGAGATGGATATTTGTGAGTGCACTGATGTTGAAAATCCAGACACTGCAAAGTGTTTAGGAAAAGTGAGTTTCACTTTAGGATGAAGTTTTCAGTTCACTTCTCAGTTAAAAATCTGTCTTAATCAAGAATTGGTGGGTCTCTTCATACCATGAAAAACAAACCCCTTTGAAAATAGTGATTTCCAGTAGTTTATTTACCTTTCTGTCTTTTAAATTAGATTGTGATGAGAGACTTGCCAGAAAAAGCCTGTATATCTATGACTTTTCACTTGAGGAGGTATGACAGCTTTATTTTAAAATTTATTTGTTTTAAACATTGACAATGTAAAGAATTTTTTTAAAGTTTGAAAATGTTAAAGAGTTTAAAATTTTGCTCTCCTTCAATTAAAGATCATGGAGGCTCCATTTGAATTTCTTTGAACAGGGTTTTAATTGGCTTTCAACTGTAGTACACTTTTCATTATAGTTGCAAGCCTTTGGATTTGTGTCTATTTCATTTTCAAAAACCATGTTATGGACACAAAACCTATGGCTTGCCATCTCTGCAAACAACTCTGCAAACAAATTTTTAGATCACTTTGACAAAGTCAAGATAAGCTTATGCTATACCTCTCAGTTTGGTGTCAGCATTGGTGTACCTGTTACAGTTTTAGGAGCAAATCCATTTCCAAGTAACTGTACCTGGACCAAACTTGCATGGAGAATGCATCTAGGGATGGACACTAGTCACACTACCAGACTTGCTGCATATGCCAGATCTGGGCCAGAAAAGATGAAATTTTTCTGAAGGCTCCCTGACTTCCTGACTTATGCAAATTCAAGTTTGTTCAAGTGTGTGGCCACTATGGAAGATTAAATTTTACATGAGTATAAATTACCTGGAGTTAAGTAAGGACTTAAACCCGTCTTATTTATATGACTTTGCAATATGTCATGGACAGCTGCTTTCAATGCAATAAATATTGTAAATGGATCTATACATATGGAAAGATCCTAACTTGATTATGCCAGCTTATGTTGCTTGTCGGAGTTCAATATCTATCAACGTGCACATGTTCAACGTCACTTTTCGACATGACTGACTTTTGACATCCGACTATAAATTGACATTAACTGTGCATCTCTCATTTCTCTGAATCTTTTTTGGCATTTTAAAACAAATACTCTGGATGGATTTTAATTCTCTGTATTCCGTTTAAATGTTTCATAGGTCAATACCAGTTTTTCCATTGGGGAAACTTTATAGAATGTTGGAAAAGGAAACCCTTCCCCCTTTTTGACATCATTTTCAAGCCCTTAATTGTTTGGACACTCCATATATTTACGATAAAATGTCATAGAACTTACAGAATTAGGTAAAAATTGCAAATTTTATGGAACAATTGTGTCATTCCACATGCCTGAGTTGACGGGATTTTAGGATGACAAATATTTACATACTGTATATCAAGAGTTTTTCTCAGTTAAACTCAGGTGGGAAAAAAATGTTAAGCTCGAGGTTTCACTGCCTGGACATACCATTGCTTACAAAAACATTAACAATTTATTAAAAAATAAAACTAATGATTTATAGTCTTTTCTATAGATAGAAAAGATGGTGCTAACTAAATGTGTTAAAATACATTGATGAACCCAAAGTGCATGTTTTTAATTTTATGGCACTACTCGCAGCACTAGTCCACGAACTTACCCCATAAATACAGTGGACTATGGCCCATTTACAAATCTTCCCACTTTCAAGAGGTAAAAATGGGATTTTTAGTTTTGAAGATATTTTTATAAAATCATTTTAATACATATAATATGAAAACAACTTCACATGTGTGTATACTTGAGCATTTTGGTATTTAATAATAATTTGCATTACAGTGAAGGATCATTACATATAACCTGCCGCGAGGAAACATCACAGCAAATAGAGCAGATTACATTAGATGTCTGCAGCTGATCTATTATGGACACAAACAGTCATGAATTGGATATATGTTATTTCCTGGAGGTGACCGAGCCATAGTTTTGAATACTCTGTGTGTCGTATGTGGTTGTCATGAGACAGATTTGCTCAAGATTTAAAAGTAAAGTTGCAAAAAAAAGCTGTCTATTATATTGTATGGATTTGAAATAAGGATATTCCAAGTTTTTCCCATGTTTAGTGTTCTTGTGCACCTTGGTGTTTTGACACCCCAGATCAGATATCAGAAAACAAACACAAAATCAGTAGTCCAATAACAGACTTGTTTACCCAAATTGTTGTCTCTCAGTATTTTTCATTAGATTTGTCAGTGAGATTTGGCATTTGCCCATAAGATTTCACTTTTCATGGACTGTACATATATTACTAGAAAACTACTACATTTCTTATTACCAAAACATGGTTTAATAACAAAGCAAAACATCATACACTGCTCTCTTTTGAGTGATTTCTGTCATTTTTTAAACCACCGCGTTTTGGCAACTTAAATGTTTGAAAATTTTCTCTTCTTTAGCGATCAAAAAGCGTCAAACTGAGACAGATAACGAAAACTAATTGTTAAAATCCATATGAACGGATTTCCGTATTTTCGTTATAGCAAAACGTAAGACGTATTTTGGACTGAAAATCCGTACAAAATACGGCGAAATCGTAAGAGTAAACAGGTCTGCAATAATTAATCACTTTTGTTGAAACCTTTAAATTTTTGTAAATTTGTTTCTGTTTTTGTTGTGAATCTGTCATGATAGGTATATAGTACGCATATTATATAACTGATTTTGCATAGGAATATACATGTATATTTCTATGAGAAAGCTAGAATTAATAAATAAAATCTTAATGAAGTCATTTTTTAAGACTATAAAGAGTGTTTAATTTTTAAACTTAATATGTGTTTTTAGCTCACTTGAGCTGAAAGCTCATGTGAGCTTTTCTGATCACCTGTTGTCCAGTGTCCATTCCTCTGTAAACTTTTCACATAATTTACAAAGCCTGTAAGCCTGTTGAGGTAGTGTAGATTGTAAATTGTTCCAATCATGTCCCTTCGGGTTAGAGATGGACCACAATAGCGATCAGTTTTACATTGAAATATAAAGGAAAAAAATTCTTAAGAACTACTGGACCAGAAAAGATGCAATATAGGTGGAAGTTTCCTGAGGAAGTTTAGATTGAAAACTGTTCAGATCAAGGTCCCAGGGGTAGGGTGGGACCACAATAGAGAATCAGAGTTGTACAGTTAAATATTAAGGAATTTTTAAAAAAAAAAGAACTGTTGTACCAGAAAAGCTGAAACTTAGGGGAAATTAAGCTTCATGAGGTAGTGTTGCATGTAAATTGATCAGGCCTCCAGGGGTAAGGTGGGGCCACAATAAGGATTGTTCAGGGAAAAACTCCTCTTTTCAAGAAGTGTAAAGCTATGATGAATCGTATTAATGTGGGAGCATCCTTTGGTAGTGTAGATTCACTTTCGTTCAAATCATGGCCCCTGTGTATAGGATGGGGCTTCAAAAGGCCATCAAAATTTTACCTAGGAATAAATGTTTTTTGTAGGACTGTCAGTTCCCTGAAATACCCAAAAACTGCAGTCTAAGTTGTTTGGTTCTGTTTTGGTTCCTTTTTCTGGATTTTGATTTAGATCTGGTTTGTGTATTAGAATATAAAATACAAAATATTGTCAAATAGTTATACATAAATGGTGTTGTAATCAAGAGTTATGGTGGCAACAGTGATAAATAAACACCACAACTGAAAGCTACTTCATCCTTGACAAAAATGTGTTATGAAAGGATGGGATTAATATCAAAATGAACAAAAGTAGTCATGTTATTGCTAATTATCAGCCTAGTACCAGTAGATCAAAACAATGACATCAAGAGGTTGACAAAGGCAAGACTCGTGTGAATTTTATGTAACAAAGAATTTTCAAGTTTAATTTTTGAAATTATAATTGAAGAACCAAACCATAAAACCAAAACCAAACCTAAAATCTGCTGAACTGACTCGACCCAAAAACTTTTGAACTGTGACAGCTCTACTTAATTGGGGGAGGGGGGATCTAATGCAGAACAGCCAGGCCAAAGTGACTCAGGTGAGCATTGTGGTCCAAGGGCCTCTTGTATGTGTGTAGGTAGTTTGCTTTTTTGTCCCACGCTTTCACTGAAAGTGGGGGATATTAATTTGGGTCTCTATCCGTCCGTCTGTATTTCTGTCTGTCTGTAGCACTTTCGTTTCCGCGCGATATCTCAAGAACCCTTTGAGCTTTCGCAATGAAATTTTGCATAACAACTCCCTATGGCTTAAAGAAAAACCCTATTGATTTTGAGGTCAAAAGGTCAAAGTTCAAGGTCGTAAATTCATACATTCCGTCTGTGTGTAACACTTTCGTTTCCTGGCGATATCTCAAGAAGCTTTTGAGCTTTTGCAATGAAATTTTATACCATGGCCTCTCTCTCCCCTCTCAAAGTGTCCCGCCCTGGTTTTTTTATTTATTGTATTAAAAGTTGCTTGGCACTATTTTTAGCACAGGGGCATGTGGAGAGTTATTACGTATAATACAAGTTGTCGGTGGACTTTATGTTCTAATTACATCTATTAGAACTGTTTAGTAAAGGCTAAATTAGACAACATGTATTGTGTAAGATTTTGACAATAACGAACGTGAATATAAACATTATATGTGACCTAATGTTTTCATCTATTTTGCTGTATAATCAAGTGACTCCGTGGTCTAGGGGTATGATGCTGGCTTACCAAGCGAGAGGCCTGGGTTCAATTCCCGGACGATCCTTTTTTTTAAATGTTTTTTTGTTTTTTTGTTTTGTTTTGTTTTGGATTCACTAAATGATACTATTCAATATGTGAAATAAAAAAGTTACATCTGGCGTGTACAAACTCATAAAATTATTATTACAGTGTGATAAATATTCTATATATTAAAAAGAATCTTCTATACACATATTAAAGAATACACATATTAAAGAATAAGCAATTAAATCTTTATATCCATATTGGCATTTTTTTAATTTGCTTCAATATACATGTATACATTTAATAATTCTACCCCCCCCCCCCCCCCCCTCCAACTGTGCATGCTTTTTTTTCCTAAGCGGGGAACACAAATTCTCTGAATTAGCTTGTTGAACCATGAATCACTAATCAGAGAAAAACTTTAAATGACCAGTAAATGAAAGATATTTGGTATTCCTTAATTTGAATATAAAGGCACTATTTTGAAGACTGAGAATGAAATTTACCAATGATTACCCAAAAGATTTCTTTTTAAATGAGCTTTCCCCTACTTCAATGTCAGACAACAACCATTACTGAAGTACCAAAATCCAAATGGAGAACTATTCTCTCTGAAATGAATATTGTCAAATGCTCATTGTGCAATCTTATAAAATCTACAGAGCAGTGTTTGCAGCTTAGCATTTTAACTTATCAGTCCACAGCACCACACACCATGTAAACTTACCAGCCCTGTACCAGATTTGTCTGTGCATCTCGTGACAAGATAAAATGATTCAGAGGATTAGAATGAACCTGCTCCAAAGACTTAAATCTGGTCACTCATACGGAAAATGTAAGTCAAATCCAGCATCTAAAGCAAGCCTGGAAGTGTGCATCCTTAGATGTATCATCCTTGCAAGTTTGGTCAATACAGGGGTTATAGTTACTTGGAAATGAGACCTGCTCCAAAATTTTAAATCTCTAAAAAAGGGTTAACCTGCATCTAAAACACTAACCTGGGTATTCTTAACTGAAACTGCATCATCTGAAACCTTGACTGGTACAGAGAAACATACTAACAGCAAGATCCATGCATCTCTGATTAATATAGGGCATAGAAATACTTGAAAAAAAATCTTCTCCAAAACTTAATGTAGGATGCCAACGCCGAGGGTATTGCATAAGCTCTCTCCAATTTGTTGAGGTGAGCTGTAGTTAAGCTGCGTTATGCATTGACAAATGTAAGTAATTTTCATAATACATGTACATGAGAAAATATTCAGTGGATGTAAATAATACTAAATATATATATTCAGTTGACACCAACTGTTGAAGGGTGGACATATTTTCTGTTCAAAAACAATATATATAGTCACTTCTTGTTGTAGCATTTATTTATGAATACATCCATGATCTAAGAAATCTTTGTACAAAATGTCATCCTCTCTTACTTTAAATACTAGTGTTTTTTCCTTGTAGTACAGTGATTTCGTCTCAATGTTTTCTATAACGTCCATTAACAAATGGGCTCTATCAGCTTCAAATCCCGGATTGTCTAGTTTGATGTGGGCAAAATGAACATGGAGATGGTAATAAGATGGCTGATAATGAAAATATATTCGAATTTTATTTCCTGGAATTCCAAACTTCTCCTTGATTGCACCCTAAAAATAAAGAATGTAAGTAATTAGTGATTACAAAGAAGTGGGTCTGGTATATCAAAGAAATGTTTAGTAAGATTCAATACATGTATTCATTTTCATCACTACAGTATATCAAACCAGAAGTCTCTGACAAGACTGTAGCTGTACTGGTTGTACTTGTAAAGGAAGATGAAAGTAGCACTTGGACTTGAAACTTTGCGACAGCAATAAATAGAATAATGATCCTTGGTTTAGTCTCTTTTTGTGGCAAGATTTATTGCAATCAGACTAAAACTGTAGGAGGAGTAGCCTTTTAAAACAATTTTACAGAAAATTTGATTTAAGTAACCATGGCAACATCATTCAACAAAATCAAAAAACAATAATAACAATTATGTATTTCAGTGTAGTCTACTTGTATGCCAAGTTATACTGAAATCAGACAAAAAGTGTAGGAGGAGTAGCGTTTTGAAAGTATTAAAAGAAAATTTCTATTTTTAGAAACCATGGCAACACTGTAAATTGAAATCCAAAACTGGTGTAGATAATTATTAATAAGTATCTTAGTGTAGTCTACTTGTATGCCAAGTTATACTGAAATCAGAGCAAAACTGTAGGAGGAGTAGCATTTTGAAAGTACGTTGTATTTCAAGAAAATTTCTATTTTTATAAACCAAGCCAACACTGTAAATTAAAATCCAAAACTGGTATAGAGAATTATGAATCTTTTTAATTTTAGTAACTATGGCAACATCGTTCATTGATATCAAAAACTGATATATAGAATTATGTATCTTATTACAGTCTACTTCTGTGCCCAGTTACATTGAAATCGGATCAAAACTGCAGGAGGAGTAGCGTTTTGAATGCTTTTCACAGAAATTTCTATTTTTAGTAACCATGGCAACACTGTTCATTGAAATTAACAAGAGGCCCAAGGGCCTTAACGGTCACCTGAGTATGATACAACAATTTAAAGGATGCATAGAGTATAAAATGAACTGAAAGGTGAAACTTTGTTGCCAAAAAGCAAGAAAAATAGGGTGATCATGATCAACAAAATAATTGGTCTTTTAAAATATTCATTGACAGTTTATAAATTATGTTCTATAAATCTGATCCCCATTTGTCACTATCACCATACAGTATATTAACAAATTATCAATGCTTCTGTACTATTTTAATCCTTTGTTGAAATTTCTTGCATTGGCCTCTCTTGGTCCTTGATGAACATTTAATAAGACAACTTATTTTTGTCTCATTTTTATTTATCTACTACTTACAAGTCTATCTGATCATTAAAACTATGAAAGTACTTTTTGTATTATACAATAAAAGTTTTTGCATAATTATTCTATTTACCTTTCAAGTACATTATTTACAGTGATAAATTATCACAAGTAAATGGCAAAGGGGAATAACTCCTCTCAGTAGAATACAAAATAATAGAGCCCTGGCCAGGACCAGAACACTTGACCAAATGGTCCAGATGTTCAAAAATCTGGTAAAAATAATCTTCCTTATTAAAACTTTTACTCTTTTTGCCTCTGATATGCCCAGGTGCAGAGAAGATTTTTAAAGAAATAATGCATTTTTACTACAGATTCACTATATTATCAATAGAGCCCCCCCCCCACCCCAACACCAGAGCTTCTGACCCTGGGACCATAAGTTTGCTCATCATAACTAATCACTTTGTTTATCTGCTTAACACTAAGGAGCAAACAGGATTATTTAATAGAATTAATGCATTTTTACTATATTATCAAGAGCCCCACCCTCACACCAGCACATCTGACCCAGGGGTCATGAAATTCACTACTCTGGTAGAAGCACTCTTGCTCATCATAACTATACACTTAGCTTCTTTGCTTTTTTAACCAGAAGCAGAAAGGAATATTTTCAAATAAATTTTGCTTTTTCACTTTATAATTAATAGAACCCCCCCCCCCCCACCAGAACCCTTAAACCTGGGTTCATAAAATTCACAATTTTGGAAGAGGCATCCTTGCCTATCATAACAATGTACTTAGTTTGTTTAAACAATACCCAGGGGCAGAGAAGAAGATTTTCAAAGAAATAATTCACCTTCACTACAGGATCTATATAGTCCCGTTCTTGCACCAGAACTCCTGTCCCCGGGGCCATGAATTTCACAATTTTGGAAGAGGCATCATTGCTTATCATAACAATGTACTTAGTCTGTTTAAATAATACCCAGGGGCAGAGAAAAAGATTTTTAAAGAATTAAAACATTTTCACTATATAATCAATAGAGCCCCGCTCTAACACCAGAACCCCTGACCCAGGATGCTTCCACATAAGTTTCAGCTTTTCTGGCCAAGTGGTTCTTGAGAAGAAGATTTTTAAAGATTTTTCCTATATATTTCAATGTAAAACTTGGATTCCCTATTGTGGCCTCGCCCTACCCCCAGGGATCATGATCTGAACAATTTAGAATCTACACTGCCCCAGGATGCTTCCACATAAGTTTCAGCTTTTCTGGCCAAGTGGTTCTTGAGAAGAAGATTTTTAAAGATTTTTCCTATATATTTCAATGTAAAACTTGGATTCCCTATTGTGGCCCCGCCCTACCCCCAGGGGTCATGATCTGAACAATTTAGAATCTACACTGCCCCAGGATGCTTCCACATAAGTTTCAGCTTTTCTGGCCAAGTGGTTCTTGAGAAGAAGATTTTTTAATGACCCTACCCTATTTTTGTCTTTTCCTGATTATCTCCCCTTGTAAGGGGACGAGGCCCTTTATTTTAACAATTTAAACTCCCCTTCACCCAAGGATACTTTGTACCAAGTTTGGTTAAAATTGGACCAGTGGTTCTTGAGAAGAAGTTGAAAATGTGAAAAGTTTACAGACGGACGGACAGACAGACAGACGGACGGTCGGACGACGGACAATGGGTGATCAGAAAAGCTCACTTGAGCTTTCAGCTCAGGTGAGCTAAAAACCAATATAAAGAATTATGTATCTTAGCGTAGTCTACTTATATGCCAAGTTTTATTGAAATCAGACCAAAACTGTAGGAGGAGTAGCATTTTGAAAAATTGCTTACAGACAGACGTCGGACACCTTACTATCGCATAAGCTCTTCTGGTCTCTGATCAGTAGAGCTAACAAGAGGCCCATGGGACACAATGCTCACCTGAGTAACTTTGGCCTTGCTGTTTTTCACCTAATCCCCCCCCCTCCCAATAGTACTTAGTGGCCCTGCCCTACCCTCAGGGATCATGATTTGAACTGTAACTGTTAGAATCTACACTACCCCAGGATGCTTCCACATAAGTTTCAGCCTTTCTGGCCCAGTGGTTCATGAGAAGAAGATTTTTAAAGATTTTTACTATATATTTCAATGTAAAACTTGGATTCCCTGTTGTGGCCCCACCCTACCTCACCCCCAGGGGTCATGATTTGAACAATTTAAAATCAACATTACCCCAAAATGCTTCCACATAAGTTTCAGCCTTTCTGGCCCAGTGGTTCTTGAGAAGAAGATTTTTAAAGATTTTTTCTGCATATTTCAATGTAAAACTTGGGATTCCCTATTGTGGCCCTGCCCTACCCCCGGGGGTCATGATTTGAACAATTTAGAATCTACACCACCCCAAAATGCTTCCACGTAAGTTTCAGCCTTTCTGGCCCAGTGGTTCTTGAGAAGAAGATTTTTAAAGATTTTTACTATATATTTCAATGTAAAACTTGGATTCCCTATTGTGGCCCCACCCTACCCCACCCCCGGGGGTCATGATTTGAACAATTTAGAATCTACACTACCCCAGGATGCTTCCACATAAGTTTCAGCTTTTCTGGCCCAGTGGTTCTTGAGAAGATTTTTTAATGACCCAATTTTTGTATTTTCTTGAATATATCCCCATTGAAGGGGACTTGGCCCTTCATTTAAACAAATTAAACTCCCCTTTACCCAAGGATGCTTTGTACCAAGTTTGGTTAAAATTGGCCCAGTGGTTCTTGAGAAAAAGTTGAAAATGTGAAAAGTTTACAGATGGACGGACGACGGACAATGGGTGATCAGAAAAGCTCACTTGAGCTTTCCGCTCAGGTGAACTAAAAATCATTTTCATTACTATAGTATAACAAAAAAATCAAAGGCATAAAAAATAATAATCATGAATAAAATATCACAATTATAGTGGTGGTACCTTTGCCAGGATCCAAGTTGAACAAGGTAGGTACGAACTAAATGGACACTTGTGAAAGTAAACAAGCAAATTCAAAGAATTGTGGTACCCTGCTTTTGATGTTTTGGTGGTTGGGAAGCAATTGCTCATGGCATTTATGGCATATTGTAATACACATCAAATTTAAATTCCCTATCTTTTCTCATTCAAAAGTTATCAGTAATATACATTTTTGAAAATTAGAACAAACTTCAAGATCAAGGTCATGGGGTTAAAAATTGTAATACATTTGGAAACGTCACAAGAAATGCACATGTCATTTATGAATGTCCTATCTTTTCTCCCTAGAAAGTTATCAGCAATTATAAAATTTTTGGAAATTAGGTTCAAACTTGAAGGTCAAGGTCACTGGGTTAAATATCATAGCATATTCGGAAACGTCAAAGGTAATGCACTTGTCAAAATGAATGCCATATCTTCTCTCATTTATCACCAATGTTAAAATTTGAAATGTGAAAATTAGGTCAAACTTCAATGTCAAGCTAACAAGGTCAAAAATCAAAGCATTGTCACAGGTAATGAATACTGTAAACCAACTTTTATTCGCCTGCGAGAAATATTCGTGATTTTCACGACCTACTTTAAATCGCAAATATTTATCGCCGCGAACCATTTATTTTGCTTTGTATTTGTAGAGAATGTTTCCTCAGTCGTGAAAATTAATCGTCGTAGATTTATTTCAAACCAACAAATCACGAATAAAACTTGACGCGAATAATAGTTGGTTTACAGTATGTCGGATATGAGTGGCCTATCTTTTCTTATTCAGAAGTTATAATCAATGTTAATTTTTTTTTTAAAAATTAGGTCAAACTTCATAGTATGTTCAGAGAGGTCTTTTAACTGATAATGTACATTTGAAATATGAAAGCCCTATAATCTCTTCTCATCCAAAAGTTATGACCAAGATTAAAGTTACGTTAAAATTTTTGAGAAGTAGGTCAAGGTCACAAGGTCAAAAGTCATAGTTTATTTGGAATGCTTTTGTCACAGGTAATGTTCATGTCATCGTCGGAAACCCACGGTCAGTCTCGCTTCTCATACCTAAGAAACCATGGGAAACCCAGGTCGGTCTCGCTTCTCTTACCTAAGAGGTAAGAGAAGCGAGACCAACCGTGGGTTTCTGACGACGTGTTCATGTGAAATACGAAAGCCCTAGCTTTTCTCATTCAAAAGTTATGACCAAGGTTAAATTTTTGTGACAGACTAACAGATGAATGATATTTAATGTCCCTTCATTCAAGAAAGCTGGGAACAACAAAGTCTTCCCTTGTTGGGAAAAATAATTCTCTTTTAAACTTAAGCAAACAATATCATGCCATTTTTTTTTTTTTTGCCAACTCTGACTCATTCTAATTTTCCAAATTGATGTTAATCAATCACCAGGTAATCAAGCAGTAGGAGCAGGTAATTTAGGAGCAATTCCCTGTAAACATCCAAACTAAATGGGGTTTTAAGCACAAAATGGAAGGAAAATGGTGAAGGACAGCGTCATTTTTTCCCATAGAAACTACAAAAGGATGCAAAAAAACTTTAAATTTGTGTGTTTTGTCCTAAATTACATGTATAGGGACATTACATGATCTCTGGAATTTTTTAATCATAATGAATTTGATTATTAACTCACCAAACCTTTCTCGGAAATATTTCTCAGAAGAGGTAAATGGCTTTTATCTAAATCCCTTATAGACATGATATCCCGTCTGTGAACGATTGCCTGGAGGTAAAGAGCAGTCACATCTTGTCTGTCCCATTTCATGTCAGGGAGGAGAATAAATCCTGTCTCTGAACAAGAGTCCTCAAATATGATCCGATCTGCTTCAGTTTTTTTGTTCAAAATGTTGTATACCCACTGAAAGTAAAGTATTTGCTTAGTTTCACTTTGTATCAAAGGTAATAGGAACTAAAATTCTGGTAAGCTTATCATCTTTTTTGGTCCAGTGGTTCTTAAGAAGAAGATTTTTAAATGACCCCACCCAATTTTTACTATTTCTAGCAATTTGTAATATGTCTTCTTAAAATATATTTACCTTGCTTTCCACTTACTATATTGTTTTAAACCATTCAAGCCTAATCACCCCACCGATATCATAGTAGTCACATATATATGTGCCAACAAATACACTACTGATAAATATATACATTTATAAACAAGCACCAACCCCCTTAAGGTGATTGGTTAAAAAGAAGAAAAGAGCAAGATTTGCTTAGGGCTATCTTTGGCCCTACTCAATTTTAGTTGACAATTGCTTCAAATATTACTTGGGCTCTTTGTAACTGCATGCATGTCTATTCAAAAATATAATTTTCTTGCTTATCAATGTATTATGATATCACAAATTGCATTATTATATTCCCATTTTCTGATAATTCTTTGAATTGAAGGAAAGCTCAATTTAATTCTGGAACACTGACTTTTTAATTGTGATAGTTCTTGTGAAATATGAAGATATTACCTGATTACTAAGTGCTTTATTTTTTATGTACGGCAGAGTGATTTTATTGTAGTCTCCTGCTGACTCATGTATGATGTGGAAATCTTGCTCTGTATACTTCATAATGTGATGACTTGTTGCAGGAAATATCAACGTGGTTTTCAGACCTAATTAGAAGAAAATGAAGTTTTTTTCAATGTCCAACAAGACAATGATGCCCCAGTATGGCAGCTCGAGACCAAGGTTAAAGTTTTTCAATTGTACATTATTTAAAATGTGGCTTATTTAAGAAAACATTTTTCAAATTGCTACTAAACTTGTTTATGGACTAAATCTGTAGCAGTTAAAACTTAATGGATATTTACTAGATTTCCACTTGGTCAGGCAATTTTGTTATCAACTTGAGAATGTGATATGTGCATATGTGTTTTCATATTAAAAAAAAAATAAGCAAAGAAAAAGGAAAAATGAATATAAATTTAGTATTGTGATATTGCAATACAAAGTTTAATATTACAGTACAGTATTAATACATATACCGAGATACGATTTTTCAGTTGCAATACCAGCACTAGTTGACAGTGCGATACAAAGAAGTTATGAGATGAGTAAACTGTAAATACTGTTTCACTTTTGTTTTTTAATAATAATGAACTGGTGAATTAATGATGTGAATTTTAATGAATTTCACTAGCTTAGTAGTTCTGAGACAAGTGAATATCCCCTGCAGTTGTATAGGGAGGAGTTGTGGATAAGGGATGTATACCCCCAATACCGTATAAGTAGAAATTTTAGCGAGGATTTAATTTTGGCATTATTAACAAGGGTGCTAAGATCGCTAAAATTGAATATCGCTAACAATTAATTGCATTTTATTTGTAAGAGCTTCTTTAGTGAGCATTTTAAAAATTGCTAAAATTCTTTCTTGCTAAAAACATACACTAGACAAAATTGCTAACCCACCAATTATTATTCTTATTTGTGAATTGATCAATTGCCTGATTGGTACTAGTATATAAAATATGCCATCTTTTCCAAAACAGATTGATCGACAAATGTCTTGGTGTCATGACAAGACCCTTAAAGGACCTTCTTGTCCGAAAACCAATTCCCGACGTGCACTGCGCACCGTTTTTGCCAAGATATGAAGTTGGTGATTACCAATGGTGGTCCGTGAGGTTGCGACGGGAGCAGTCTCCCATTAAAAAATCAAATTATATACCCTGATTGACTACCATATCGCTTAGTAGTCATCCAGTGCCTTGGGTGTCCCTACCAAATCCACCCAACTTCCAGTTGCCCCAATTTTGTGGAACAATCTTGAAGTTATTGTGAGGTGCTTACTTAATGCCGTTGCTATCTATTGTAAACATTTTTATGATTGTTAATCCATTTTCAGCAATATTTCATCAGAGAAATGCATAATCTTTTAATTGTTTTAATTTTTCACAAAATTTTCCAAAGGAACCCTCTGCAGACACCATACTGGCTGCCTTCCCATACCAAAATTAAGTACAAATTAAGTACGAAAAAAAAGTACAAAAAAAGGTCACAAAAAGTATACTTTTTTCGACTAAATTTGGAACTAGGGATTTGGTCGTTCCAAATTAAGTAAAAAAAAGTATACTTTTTTTGTGCTTTATGAGAACTTAGGTTCTTGGGTACAAAAAAAAGATAATAAAAGTATACTTTTGGTACATTTCTATATTTGAGAAAAGTACATAAAAAGTATAATTGGAAGTACAGAAAAAGTATATTCTTAAAACTAACATACAAAAGTACAAAAAAAGTATACTTCCAGAAAGAAGTACAGAAATGTATGAAGTACAAAAAAAGTATACTTCCAGTACCAAAAAAGTATACTTCCAGAAAGAAGTACAGAAATATATGAAGTACAAAAACAGTATACTTCCAGTACAAAAAAGTATACTTCCAGTACAAAAAAAGTATACTTCCAGAAAAAAGTACAAAAATGTATGAAGTACAAAAAAAGTATACTTCCAGAGAAAAGTACAAAAATATATGCAGAAAAAGTATAAAAATAGTACTTCTTTAGATTGATGCTTAAAAAAGTACAATAAAATGTCAAAATTAAATGAAAGTACGAAAAAAGTATACTTTTTAATTGGTACAAAAAAAAGTAGGGAAAAAGCACCCCCCCCCCCAAGAAATATATAGCAAATACCCCCCCCCTTTTTTTTAAATACATATATATTATTTTGAAAGAACAATGAAAAACCTCAAAAATGGCCATTAAGCTCAGGTTTACTAAAATGAAACCAATTAAAAGTACAAAATTGTATTTTGAAAGCATGAAATTTTAACAAAAATATGAAGTATCAGGGCTCGAGCTGTGATTCGCCATTTGCGCCAATTGCGAATTTTTTCCAAAAGTGGCGAAAAGAAATTCAAAAGTGGCGAAAATGAACTTTTTTTTTAGATATACCATACAAAAGTGTGTGAACTCCTGGCTATCTCCTTTGTTTATTCAATGTATACATATTAGCCCCTTTGTTTATTTAAAGCAAGCAGACGTGTGAATTCAGGGTGTGAAAACTCCATGAAACTAACAAAGCAATGTACATGTAGGAAATCACGTCTCGCTTGAACGCACACAGCTGATTTAGTAGGTAACTTTAGCCTGGAGCAGTAAGGGGATACAAAATTACTTGAAATAATATAAGATGGATTAAACAAGGAAAGACGAAGTGTTTTTGGGAGATGAAGTCAGTTAATAAAAGATTTTAATCAATAAAATCTGGATCTATATAGATTGTTTTTTTTAAACCGAAAGTAGGAAAAAATGACGAAAATTGCGGAGCATGGCTGCTAATTTTACCTGATTAAAGTTAAAATAGTGTGTTCATTATACCATAATCTGACAAAGAGTGAAAGAGATACTGGCTTGGAAACAAAACAATACTTTTGTCAATTACGCTGAATTATTTTCAGTTATATGAATTTACATGCATATACACCCAGTGTCCAAGTTGTTAAATTAAGCCAAGTTTTAAACCTGATTTTAATTACTTCTTTTCACAATAAATTGTTGATATGATTAAAATTTTCGCCTATTATATTATTTTTTCATTTTTAAAAAAAATGTCATATATCTTTACTAAGTCTGTAACCCCCCTCCCCAGGCTAAAAAGTTATGAACAAGAGGACATCTACTGTCAAGAGTTGGCTAATATCAGTATCAAATTAATTGTATAAATGTAGAAATAATTCCTATATCAGTTTTGTAAGTGGACACAACTTTAAAATAATGCATGTGATATAAACAAATTGAAATAGTGCTATTAGTGGAGTGTGTAACACTGTACACATGTAGAGACGAGATGTAAAAATGTGATTCCTTTCATCGCGAAAAGTGGCGAAAAATATTTTTGCTCCAGTGGGAGCTCTGAGTATAGGGAAAAAAATTCAGCTTATCAGAAAAAAATCAGAGAAACCGGAAATGGGGAAATCTCTATGAAATATTAGCTACAATTCAAAAATCTTAAATGCTAGCTTTTATCAAAATTCAGAAGCATGAACCCCACATCTTCATTACATTATTCATTATTTTCAGTACTAATCTTCCATAAATAATTTAAAGAATATATTGGAACATTAAATCATCAACAAGATTATAATTCTGTAAATAACAAGATCTGATCCTTTATAGTCTAGTAACTTGTAATGCATGGTTATGTCACTGATTGATCTGCTCACAGATCATATCTGCTCCTTCACAGTCTAGTCATCCCGTTTGAATTTTCTTGCTGACACAATTCAGTGCACTAACCTTTGACTGCATAGCAGTGTTAATGTCACCCATTTTTTCACTGATCTTCATTTGAATATGCTAAATGATTTCAGCCTTCAAGTACTTTTCCTTGGATTCTGCAAAAAAAGTTAAATAATCAAAGCATATTTTTTTCAGTTTGAAATCAAACATGTTCTCAAAAAGCAGCATTCCTGTGCTTAATACATGGCAGACTGACATATAGAATCATATATTCAGTTTAATATTCGAATAACTTGAAAACCAATTAAAACTCAAAATTCTTATGTGAAAATCCAAAAAATTAACCCTCGATCATCCCTATCACTTTAAAAGTTTTAAAATAAGTCTTTTTAGTGCATGAGTATATTAATGACAGAGAAGCCTACTAATTTGATATGTCTATTTTGTAGTTTACAGAAATAAAATTAGATTTATATGTACTTACTGATGATAAGATACACTTAAATTGTTGAAGCATTTTCCTATGGCTCTGCATATTAGTGAGATGCTCATGGCAAAAAACACATGCATGCACTGCTGAAAATTATAAAAGAAAAATCAGGCAACTTGAATATTTAAGAACTTCTCCGGCATTATATCCACACACAAACATTTAATTACTTTCATTTTTTTTTAAACCTGACAATGATTTTGAAAAATTGTAAAGTGAGTTTGATATCCCTGTCTGAATTCCTAATGTTATATGAGCAAATAGAAAAATAATCATGTGTCTCAATATTATGTTTATATAGCCCCCCCCCCCTTTTAAAGTTCTTTTCACCCTGGAAAGATGATCAGTATAACTATCTAGTTCAACTTTAAATTTTTCAGATACATGTAAATGCTGATACTTTTTGCTTGTTTAATCAACCACATGATTATTACTACCCCTTCACCCCCCTCCCCACCACCATCACTACCAACCACAACACACAAACTATCCTCCCTTTTAACATGTTTAACAAAAATCCATTACTTTTACAAACTTTAATCTTACAAAATTCGTAGATTTGATATGTATTTATTTTTATCATGCCAAGACTTAGCTAGGCTACAGTAAATGTTCCCAGATACTGACCAATGCTGACTGTATTATAAACCTATTGCATGAATTATACTGAAATATGGAATTGAATATGTCAAGGAACTAAATGATTCATGTTACATTGAGCCAGAGAAAAAGCATGTTTCAGTATGTTAACTTAAGTTTATATACATCGTCATACTGATCAAAACAAACGAGAAATCGAAGACACAAATGTCCACAATTACGTAAAATCTACATTGAAACTCTCCACTGAATACATTTCTAAAGTGGTAAAATGCATTTCCTGCTAACGACATATAAAATTTAAATATAAATATAGTCTTACCGACTTCTTTATCTCCTTTTTG